CCACTTTTGCTTTGTGTTTCCTTTGTACTGAAATGAATGGTGCAGAATCACATAATAGCAATGTAATTATTTAAGTTATGTAATTGTGCCTCAGCAGAAAGCAAGACAAATAATGTAGTTTTCGGCAGAAGATGAACTGTAACGGAATGGAAACAGCGATGCATGCAACAAATGCAGGGCAGAATGGAAAATGATGCCATCTTACATCCTTGGCTGAGAGTGGAGTTTCAAGAAGTATGGCCACTAGTGCAAAAGAAAGCAGTGAAGGGCTGAATGGCCTTCTGCAGAGGCCCTGATTCTTTAGCAGAGGTACATGGTGCATCCACCTAGGAAGACCTTATTTGCACAAACATTGTAAATTTTAGAGCATTTTTTTTTTGGTGGGGGTGTCTTTTGTCTTATGGTGTTTTTTGTTTTGGGCATTTGTTGGTTTTAGATCAATGGGTAGGCAAACTAAGGCCCGGGGGCTGGATCCAGCCCAATCGCCTTCTAAATCTGGCCCGCGGACATCCAGGGAATCATGTGTTTTTACATGAGTAGAATGTGTGCTTTTATTTAAAATGCATATCTGGGTTCATTCATTTGTTCATTCCCCCCCCCAAAGTATAGTCTGCCCCCCCCCAAGGTCTGAGGGGCAGTGGACCGGCCCCCTGCTGAAAAAGTTTGCTGACTCCTGATTTATACTTTTGTTACATAGCCCTGAAAACTGTTAAGAAATCTTATAAATAAGGAATGGGTGGAACTTCAAACCTGGGGGACCAATTGTGGCCCTCAGGACTCTCTATCCAGCCCTCAGCCTCCAGGTTATAGCCACTTCCCAGTCACACCGCAGTCCAGCCTGGCTGGAACGAGCCAGGGAAAGGTTACACTTATATTCATTGCTCCATGTACTTTTGCATCTATATACACACACCCCACTGGCATGTGGACCCTGGAACATTGCCAAGAGGGGAATGGCCTTCAGCTCTTGGGCTTAGGAAGGTTTCTCCATCCATGCTTCAAAGCATTTAAATAAATCAAACAAAAGTCTGATGAGATGGACTTTCAGCTTGAAATGGGGTGAGGGTGGGGAGATACATATGGGAGTTTTTAAAAATGCTGAAATATATGTTTTTATGTTGTCTGCTTTCATGCTGCTCCCCTGTGTTTTATTGTTGATCTTCATATATGTTTAATTCACTTTTATTCTTGCTTGTAAGCTGCTTTGAGAACTCTCAAAGCAGATACCAATACTTAGAAAAATTAGTAACACTGGAACACAGGAAAGTGCCTTCTACTTAAGTCAAACTTTTGGTCCCCGTAGCTCAGTAGGGTCAACACTGACTGGCAGCAGCTCTCCAAGGTTTCAGACAGGAAAGCCTCACCTAGGCTTACCTGGAAATAGAAGAAACTGAGCTTCTGCATCCAAGTAATGTACATGGCCTATAAGCTACATCTCTTCCCCTAAATTTTTGCTATAAGGAAAAGCTATAGGCATTTGCAGCTCTTTCCCAGGTTCAGCGTTGTCTAGATAACTATGACTATTGACTTTCACCTCCCTCTCAGCTTTCCTATAATGCCATGGCCACTCATTCCAATAAGAAGGTTGGGAAGGAAAGAGACCAAAAGATTTTTGAAACTAGGGGCATCATTACAGATGCTTTCTGACGTATTCTTCTTACCGCATGTGCAACTGACATGCCCAAAACTGTAATTCTACAATTTTGTAAGGGCGTAGTTGCCTTTTGATGCTTTTGAATTATGGTCTGGAGGAGACTCTTGAGAGTCCCGCAAGAAGATCAAACCTCTCCTTTCTTAAGGAAATCAGCCCTGAGTGCTCATTGGAAGGACAGATTGTGAAGCTGAGGCTCCAGTACTTTGGCCACCTCATGAGAAGAGAAGACTCCCTGGAAAAGACCCTGATGTTGGGAAAGACTGAGGGCACAAGGAGAAGGGGATGACAGAGGACAAGATGGTTGGACAGTGTTCTCGAAGCTACCAGCATGAGTTTGACCAAACTGCGGGAGGCAGTAGAAGACAGGAGGGCCTGGCGTGCTCTGGTCCATGGGGCACGACTAAACTACTAAACAACAACAAGTTGCCTGGAAATCTAGCATAGCTCTGCTTCTATGAGGGCATCCAATCTGCAGATGGAGTGTCTTTAGTGCACCTTGTCCTAAGCACCCATTTCTTAACACAGTCATTCTTAATGCCCGCCCATGTTTAAGCTGCCCCAAACTAGAATTGCAATGCTGACTTTATCACTGTTAACAGAAAAATTGCAACAGGGAGGAAAATATGTGATGGAGTGTGAAGTTCTGAAAACAACATATTGTATATTATGTAATTATATTTTGCAACTGTTTCCAACATTCCATCAAATACTCAGTATAGTAATCGCCCATCTGTTCTCCATTTGCTAAAATGGTTTCCCCATATCTCAAGATGACTATTACGACTTTTTTTTTCTTTGCCAGGAGAAAGTTTTAAGAATTGGTAGTTGGAAGGTTTAAACTCTCCAAGTCAATTTTTAAAAAAACCTCACACCACGATTCCTTCTGAAGATAAGCAGAAAATATACTGATGGTGCTTAATAAGACCTCATAAAAGAGATAAAGGTAAAGGTAAAGGTACCCCTGCCCGTACGGGCCAGTCTTGACAGACTCTAGGGTTGTGCACTCATCTCACTTAAGAGGCCGGGAGCCAGCGCTGTCCGAAGACACTTCCGGGTCACGTGGCCAGCGTGACGAAGTTGCTCTGGCGAGCCAGCACCAGCGCAGCACACGGAGACGCCATTTACCTTCCCGCTATAAAGCGGTACCTATTTATCTACTTGCACTTAAGGGTGCTTTCGAACTGCTAGGTGGACAGGAGCTGGGACCGAATGACGGGAGCTCACCCCGCCGCGGGGATTCGAACCGCCGACCATGCGATCGGCAAGTCCTAGGCGCTGTGGGCCACCCGCGTCCCTCATAAATGAGATACAGGAGACCAAATCAAAATTTGTTCTGGATTGTTTTATTTGATGTTTAACTGTGTTGCAAATTGCTTTGATTTTTTTTATTAAAAATATAAAGTGCTATAGAAATGAAGAAAATAATAGTAATAATAAATAAATAAATAAAGCACACACTTTGCATCCAGAAGGTCCCAGGTTCATTCTGCAGCATCTCCAGGTAGACTTGGGAGAGGTCCCTACTTAAAATATTGGATAGCAGCTGCCAGTCACTGTAAACAATATTGATCTAGATGGACCTGTGGGCAGACTCAGTATAAGGCAAGCTTACTATGCTCCTGTATTCCTCTTCTTCCCCAGTCACCCACACACTGCTTGTGACCAGAAGCAGAGCTAGCTTCTCCAGCACCCAGAGCGGTGCACATGCTGTGCACCCAGGGGTGGGGCTAGCCGTCTGCAGGGGTGGGGCTAGCATCCCAGGGGGGTGGGGTGGCAATGTCACCCCCCTCAGGGATGACGCCCGGGGCGCAACACACCCACCGCACCCCCTTCCTCTGCCAGTGCTTGTGACAGCTACTTTTGAGTTCAAATCAAGCTTCTGTAGGAAGTAGCTTTTCCTGCTTTTGAAAGCTGACTGTGAAGCTTAGAACATTGACCTTCCAGCTTTAGCTGAGCCCAGGAGCAGCTGTCACGAGCTGCAGACAAAATGCAATAATGGGGATGCAGCTGGATGCACCACTTGTAGGTCCTTTGCACTAAATTTCTTCCTTAGGAGCAGAGGATGATGCCTCATCCTGAGTCAGACCAAGGGGCCATGTGCCTCAACAATGTCCCCATTGACTGGCAGTGGCTCTCTTAAGGTTTCAGGCAGGATATATTCCTAGCCTTATCTGGATATGCTGGGAGTTGAACCTGGGACCTTCTGAATTCAAAGCAGATGCTCTACCACTGAGCTATGACTCTTCCTAGAAGCTGTCTTATACTGAGTCAGATAAGTTACCCATCTAGCTGAGTAGTGACTGACAGTGGCTCTCCAGGGCTTGAGACAGGTACTGCTCCCACCTTTGTAGAGAGATGTCCAGGATTTACCCAAAACGTAGTCATTGCGTCAAGTAGCCATTGATAACTCTATCACCCAAGAATTTGTTTAATCGTATTTTGAAGCCATCCAAATTGTTTTCCCCCTTAACACCAGTAATGAGTGGTGAGGGCTTGTAGATCTACGTAAATTGGTCTCAACATTCTGTCACACACTACTGTGACCAAGAACCAGAACACAGAGTGGGACCAGATAGGTAAAAGTAGCCTCAATTATCAAAGTCTCCAAAGTCTGGGAGCAGATCTATTGTCCTCTGATCCACTTAAATGGGAGAAAATTAAATGTGCCTTTTGATGACTCTGCGTAAAATTTGCCTCCTGCATCCCTAACAGTGGGTGTGTCTGCATGTTGGGATATATTGTCCTCTCCCCATGCCCAGATCTTTTGCAGGGTACAAACTCTGCACACACACACACACACACACACACACACACATTTTGCTGCTAATATCAAAAACACTAATAATAAATCAAAGCCCTTAAGGTTGTGAGTCAACTTTCACTTCAGTGGATTCCACCCCTCCGCCCCGCAAAAAAAAGATTTAAAGTGTTATTCAACCTTCTCACTAACCAGATGTTTGCAATCATCGAAAAATACATCTCTACCTCTGTGAGTTTTCCCTTTCCTTTCCTTCTCTCTCTCTTTTTTCCCCACCACCGTTCCTTCTCAAGGGGAATTTACATAACAACATGGGACGCGCAAAATGCTTTAAAGCTCCCAACCATGACAGTGCAAATTACTATCATTTGTCAGCCCTGTGCGCAAGGTGCTCCACTTCAGGCAACGGAGATGGGTGGCATGCTGCGTGGTGTGTGTGTGTGTGTGTGTGTGTAAAGATGGCATCATCATGCATAGCACTCACAAATGCTCAGTTGCCTCTCTCTCTCTCCTTTTCTGGGGAGGTGGCAATGGAGGGCAGGAGAAGGCAGCACCAATGGCCAAAAGGAGTCCCAAGGGTCTACTTACCCGCCATAAGCCGGGATGGGAGGAGGGGGTGCTGCGGCACGAAATGTGTTGTAGACGGTGCGGCCTCTGCCTCTGAGATGTGCTCCTCTGTACGCGGCGGCAGCAGTAGCGGCAGGGTATGGGAAACCCGGCACTGGAGGGAAAGGCAAATCAGAAAGGAAGAGAATAAACAGAGAGTTGGAAGGAACCCCGAGGGTCAACTGGTCCAACCCCCTGCAATGCAAGAACATCCATCCTTCAGTTCTGTGTCACCAAAAAAAGAGAAAGAGCCTTAGCTCATTCAGGACTGGAAGGCTATAGTCCAGTGGTTAGAGCATCTGCCTTGCATGCAGAATGTCCCAGGTTCAATTCTAAGCATCTCCAGATAGAACTAGGAAAGACTCCCTTTCTGAAACCCATGGAAAGCCACTGCCAGTCAGTGTAGAGTACACTGGGTCTGACTCAGTATAAATTAATGAAAAAGTTAAAAAAATGTCCAGTGGAGACAAACTAAGTTTGTTCTGAATATAAGCTTTCATGTGCATGCATACTTCTTCAGATACCTACCTTATACCCAGAACAAACTTAGTTGGTCTCTAAGGTGCTACTGGACAATTTTTTAATTTTTTAATTTATTTCGACTGCGTCAGACCAACACGGCTACCTACCTAAATCTGATTCAGTATAAGGTTCCTAGATGCACTCATATATAAATCTTTCACATGACGTAAAAGTCACTTTTGGAAAACTAATGGAATAGAGAACATTTCCATTTTATTTCAGGTGGGGGCGGGGGGCATCCATTGCAGCCCCCTTAAGCCAGAAAATCAAAAGAATAAAGTGACAAAATTAGGGGCGGCACACCAACGTACAGTTCTTTCCTGCTGTTTTCATGGAGGAATTATGGGAGGACAGCAGCAGGGCTGTGTGGAAAGGGTGAGGAGGTAGCAATATTGTTGGGTGACATTTGTCCTTGTGCCATACCACACCCACTTGTGCGAAAGAAATTTAGTGTGATATGCTGTTATATCGGTCCAAAAGCCACAATTATATAATGCAACAGGTGCTGCAGTGTGAAAGGAAATTAGAAAATGGGACAGATTCCCCACATCTGAATGTACCCAAGGTCATAAAGTGTGTGTGTGGGGGGGGGGGGGGAACTTCAGTTATATCAAGTTAGGCTTTTATCTGTTGTAGCAGGAACTAGGGATGAGGGAGCAATATGCTTTCTCCTTCACATTCTGATTCACATTTCTAGAAACTCTACTCAAACAGAAATACAGGAATCGTATCCTGAAAAATTTGCACTCCTCTGAATTTATATGCATATGCCAACCCCCCCACCCCAAAGATACAAAAATCATATTAGGGAAATGGCTTTCAGAAAACGTGTATATTAGGAGAAATATGCTCCAAAACACTCATAAGTTTTCATAAGTCCCCCACTCCCATGCTTTTTATATCGCAAAGTGATTTAAAACTGCTGGACTGAATTTAAAATGGTGTGTGTGTGTGTGTGTGTGTGTGTGTGTGTGTGTGACAAACTGAGAGAAACCAAAATAAACATTCACCCATCTTTAGCAGAGGTACTGCTGCTCTACATGAGTTAGAACAGGGATGGATAACATGGGGCCCTGCAAAGTGGTGGTTTGTGGCCACTGAAACTGATAGGGCAGAAGGCAGGAAGGCCAACAGTAGGTGGCGCCAGAGCCAACAACCAGGAGAACCCACCAACTCTAGTTTTGTCCCAATCCTCTTCCTTGCTATGTTCTCCAAGGGCAACACTGAGACTAAGGATTTTTAAATGTAGTTTCTTTTCTCATTAATTGGATGAGACTGTTCAGGAAAAATGTGGGAGGAATTTCTAGCACCACACTGGTCTATATAATCGCAGAGTTTGAATAAGCCAATGGAGACTGGGCTTTGCAACAAAGACCTTTTAGCCACATTCACACCAGACATTTAAAGCACTATGATTCCACTTTAAACAATCATGGCTTCCCCCAAAATAAATCTGGGAGCTGTAGTTTGTTAAAGGTGATGCGCGCAGTTTCAGAGACCCCTACTCCTGTCCCAGAGCCTCAGTTTTAAGAGGTGTTTAACTATCAATCCCTCTTCACAAGGAACTCTGGGAATTGCAGCTCCGTGATGGAATTAGGGGTCCTCTAACAACTCTCAACACCCTTAACAAACTACTTCCCATAATTCTTTTGAAGAAATCCTGACTGTTTAAAATGGCATCATCATGCTTTAAACGTATGGTATGAATGTGGCCATTGAGTATTTCACAAAAGAAGAGTTTACCACTGTGCTCACACCTGAACTGCAAACAAACGCCAATTGATCCCAAGTGAGATTAATAAATAACTAATTTTATTCCCATTCATTTTCTTATTAAATGAGATAAAAATTGTGTGGAAGGCTATTAGATGGCATATTTCAACACACATAAGTTTGGCGGGGGAGCCCAAAATGCAGAATGAAGGATGTTTATCTCTCAACACCAGAAATTCCCCTAGATGAGATGTGTATTATAAACTGTATATTTAAGTTTTGAAGCTCAGGGATAGATGACAAAGTCGCAGATGCAAAACCCAACAGGGGGGCAGATTTCCCCATCAAAGCCATAAAAACATACAGCCCTTTTAATGGCCAATTATTCCTTGCATCCCAGCTCTAATTTGGATTTGCATAAGAGCGCCATATGCCAAAAGAAAGGTGCGCCGTCAAAATGGATGAATGAATCTCTCTTCTCATTACTCTGCCTCTCTTCTCCCCATGCATCAGCCCCTGTGACAACTTCCCATCATGAGTCTTGTGATACTTCCTTCAGGAAAGCATGTGACTTAAGTTTGCAATGGAAGGATGGGGAACCTATGGGTTTGATGAAGGAGAAATCCCATTTTCTTTGCTTTTTAGTGAGAAACCACCTAATTTGCATTTCTAGAGTCAATAAGGTAACCAAAACACAACTAGCTTTTGAAATCTGCCTTTCTCTGAATTTTGTGAACTAGTTTTCCAACCAATGTAAGCATACATTTTCTTCATTAGAAAAAGTTGCGTACAGACTAGATTATATTTGGAAAATTTGCTTGCCAAAGTGTTTATGTTGGTAAAAATGATGGGTGTGCATATGGAGAAATTTGCATTAAAATGCTGAAAAAGTGCCATAAGGTTTTTTAATAATAATAATAATAATAAGAATAATAAGAATAATAATAATAATAATTGCTGCTGTGAATAGAGAATGTAATTTAGGGTTTTAAAAATGAGAAACCAAAATTGACAGATTTGTCCAACTCTGTTTCAAGAAGTGAAAATCCGGACATGGCAGTTGTTGACAAAACCGCAAAAAACCCCCAAAACAACCAAACATTTTTGGGCTATTTTTAAGGAAAAGAGGCAAAAACAATACTGCCGGTGTGGGATGCCCTATGTCTGGATTTTCCTGGGCATTTTGCTGATTTCCGCCCAGACACTGCTTCCGAATGCAGTATTCTAGGTATGTCCAGGAAATTCCGGACATATGGCAACCCTATCTAACTCTAACTGTGGCACCCAGATGTTACAATCAGAACTAAATATATCAAGAACTAAATAAATCAACACCAGAGTTCAGAGGTGTCTTTTCAGCATATGATAAGCTGTACAATGAAGATTCTGTATGCACTTTTGTGGGGAGGAAAGTCCACAACTTAGGGGATCCAGAGAGAATGTCCTCTCCTAGGACCCCCCTCCCCCAACCTCTGAGGGCAGTGGAACTACCAAGAGTACAATAGGGCCCTCTCTGTTGATCTTAATACCTGAGAAGGGCTCTAGGGAAGGATACGGTCTTTCAGATATTTGGGGCCTAAGTCATTTGGGCCCCGGATAGCATCCAAGTTCCCATGTATCCATGGGAACTACATTTTCCACAGTTCTAATCATTTGTGGGTGCTGCATATGATTGTGGCAGTATCTAGAGCAGCCTTTCTCAACCTTGCGTGCCCAGATGTTGTTGGACTACAACCCCCATCATCCGTAGCTAGCAGGACCAGTGGCCAGGGATGATGGGAGTTGTAGTCCATCCAGGCAAAACCTGAGACTCCACCATAGCAGGCCCGTGCACTGCAAAACCCCTCTCTTGCTCTTCATGACCCACCCTTTGCAAATGCAAAATCCCTCTCATACTCCTCCTCCAAGCCCCACCCAATGCTCTACCCACATCCTGTGATAACTCTCGCTCTCGGCTCTCCTCTTCATGGGCCCACATAAACTCCCACTCAGACTCTTGCTCTCCTCCTCCTACTGGAACCACCCTCTGCCTGAACAGTTTTGAGGAGGAGGAGGATGAGCTCAAATACAGTCATACATCATGTTGCATCCGCTTCGTGTTGTGTCTTTTCATGTTACGTTCCGCGGCAACCCGGAAGTACTGGAACGGGGTACTTCCAGGTTTCACCGCTCACACAGGTGCAGAAACGCTAAATCGTGCTTCGCGCATGTGCGGAAGCACCAAATCACGCCGCATGCCTGCGCAGACACAGCGCTTCAAGTTGTGGGCATTTCACATTACGGATGGGCCTCCGGAACAGATCCCATCCATAACACGAGGTACCACTGTACATGAAAAAAGGCATCCCGTTTGAAGTCCAAACAGGACAGGGACACTTTTCTCCCCTCCCCACAAAAGGATGATCACATTTGTCTAGGGACAGGTGGCAACCCTAGGGTAGGGAAGTAGTTTCCACTGAATTTGGGCCTGCTATTTGACAAACGTATGGGCAGTATTCAGCAAAATATACGCCCTTCAAATTATTTTTTGCTTGGTGTGTGTGTGTGTGTGTTTGTGTTCTACACTTCCTTTAATGGACCATGCACAAATGCAGCATATTGCTTCCCTCATCAAGTGATGGAAATTCACACGCAAAACAGTGATCGCTGATCAATTGCAGACAAATTAAATGAAGTACTTGCATGCAGGAACCAATCCCAATCTTTCACGGATCCTGCATATGTGTGTGGATTTCCTGCTGTCTTAATTGAGTAGAAGCATGCTTTCTTCTATTTCCCTTTTCCATGTTTTTCAGGATTACTGAAACAGTCATTAATTTGCCATTGTTCTAAACTCAACATCGATATTAAACAGGGTTGTTTAACGAATTTTGGACAAAC